TATTGGCGCGAAGCACACCGGGCAACGAACCCACTGTTGCTGTCCTCGAGCACACCTGTGCTGGCAACACGGTGAACAAAATTTATCTGATTTTCCTTAAAGAATCCTGGAGGGGAAACCAAATGTTTCTGTTGGAAAGCTGCTCCAGGGATTGAGGACATTCTACTAGAGTTTATTAGTGAGAGTTGTGAAACTGTGTTTTTGAGAAATGGACTGTGTTTCCCTGGATTTGTTGGGGGGGATGTGTACATCAAAGCTAACTGCAGCCATATGAGAGAGTACTCTTTGCCACTAAGGAATTAATAAAATAGAACACCACATGGTGTAGGGTTAATTGGAAAGCAGGCTTTTAGATGCAAGGTCAAAATCTAGCTGGCAAGCTCTGGTAATCAGAATGGGGGAAAGGGAAAGACAAGTAAATAAGTGAGAATGAAAGGAGATAAATGGATTAAAACCTTGAGTCTAGATGCCTCTGATATTAGACGTTTATTGAAAGTTCAGAAAAGTGATGATCTAGTCGGGGTTGTTATGTGCTATGTGTGTTGTACAAGGTGTAAAAGATTAGCTAATACAGTGTACTTTGGAGCTGTCCTCTGAAGCCATCTTGAGAAACATTTTTCCTAACACCATTTTTCCCCAGCAGGTGAACCACCGGTCTCTGTGAACCTGCTGTTAATTACTCAATACCGTTCCAAATGTTAGATATAAGGAATAGGTTTAGAGCAGCCCAGATATTTACTTATGTGTTGTTAGTATATAGGCTTGTTTGTCAGCTTGAAATAGAATTTTGGGTTTGATTTTTTGATACTCTCATATCATACATTAACATGTGTGAAGAAGAATGAACAAAGACTGTGTGTGTTGCATTTCCCACAACCAGATGGGGCTTTTAAATGAATGAGAAAAGATAAGGGTAGAGCTAAAGTGCTACAGGGTATGGGGGGAGTATAATATATGAGCATACACTGGAAGGCTGTCAGGCTCTTCTCTTGAGGCAAGGTCAAAAACGAAAAGGCCAAAGAAAGGCCCATTTCTGACCATAGCACAACGTGACTCCTCACCCTTCCCATGGAACACAAAAGACATGGGATGAAGATCCTAGATTCATGACCTTTCAAAATGGAACATGACCATAAGTTGCCGAGGGCGTGCATTGCAGGTATATTTGGGGCCGCTAAGGAGGAGGAGATGGGAAATGGGTATGGTATGAGGACACAGGGCAAGGCTCTGTGGCATCAGAGCTGGGAATGGGACAGTGGGAAACAAGGCTCTGTGGTATACATGCTTGCTGGAAACTAATCCCAACATCACATTGTCTGCACTTTGGACTTCTGGTCTTCTGCTTTCTGTCCATGTGACAAGAACAAGGGGAGGGGGTGAAGGGAAAGCCCTCTACCATGTGTGCTGAAATCTAATAAATTGCAGTGTTAGACAGCAGCATGCTTAGTTGCATGTAATCCTTGATCAGACAGAATTTCTGTGTTCCCACTGATTTATTCCTGATACCACATGGAATGAAATAGTTAAGTTACCCCTGCTCGGGGTTCTGAAAAACCTGGGAAACAGTGTGCTGTGTTAAATTATGACATTGCCTTAGAATCGAATAAGTTACTGCTCTGCGCAGTTGATGTTCCCATTGGTGTTGTCGAACACATCAAAAGTAGGTGCGAAACAGATGAAACAGAGATTGCCACCAAATGGCCAGGTGATTGAATCACTTGCAGTACTAAGTCCTTCATGACCTACAATGGCTGCTATCTCATTTTTGCCATTCTTTTGTGCAGACCTTGGACAGTGGGAGCAGCAGTGGAGAGTTTTGCCTATTGTTCACTTTCCTCACACTCAGAACAACTGAGTATACCACTTTGGGGTTGTTTTCTCAGAGGAACCTGATTTAAAAAAACATACACAACATGATTCAAGAGGAACTTTTAGAAAACATTCTTCATGTTAGGACATGCAAGCAAGACACAAAATCTGTTGTGAAGAATTTGCACCAACGGAGGAAATGATTGCACTGGTAACTGCTGATATGCATGACGAATAGCAGAAACATTGTACTTCTCACAAAGACAGCCAGGAATAAATGTTGTCTTTTAGAGACTAAAAGTAACAAACTCATTCAACACAAAATATTGATACTGTCTACCATCATTGGATGCCATTAGAAATAAATATAATAACAGTATTGTTGTTTTTACACTAAAGAAGTTTTGGGCTCCTTTTGGGGTATTTTTAACACCATTATTTGCTGCTTTTTGTTTGAAATACCTGCCAACTCTCCACTGGGATACAAATACCGGAACTGGGGGGTTGATTTTGAATTTTTTTGTCATCTCGTTGCTTTGATGCCAATTAGATGAAATTCTGCTGGGGCTTTTAGTTTTTGTGTGTTTGTGTGTGTGTGTGTAACCAAATCTGTAGTAGCTATGCAATAAAAGCTTTCATTTGTTATTTGATGTGTTAATTAAAAAAAACTCCTTTTTTCAATGAATAGATTGAGCTACATTTGGGTTAGTTTTGAAGGCACTTTGGGCTAATAATGCAGAAGAAATCTGGCAATCTTTCATAGAATCATAGAATATCAGAGTTGGAAGGGACCTCAAGAGGTCATCTAGTCCAACCCCCTGCTCAAAGCAGGACCAATTCCCAGCTAAATCATCCCAGCCAGGGCTTTGTCAAGCCGGGCCTTAAAAACCTCCAAGGAAGGAGAAGAACAGGAGGACTTGTGGCACCTTAGAGACTAACAAATTTATTAGAGCATAAGCTTTCGTGGACTACAGCCCACTTCTTCGGATGCATATAGAATGGAACATATATTGAGGAGATATATATATTGAGATATATATCTCCTCAATATATGTTCCATTCTATATGCATCCGAAGAAGTGGGCTGTAGTCCACGAAAGCTTATGCTCTAATAAATTTGTTAGTCTCTAAGGTGCCACAAGTCCTCCTGTTCTTCTTTTTGCGGATACAGACTAACACGGCTGCTACTCTGAACCGTGTACGGAGTCGAAGGACGGGCACCCCCTTAGCTAACTCATTCCAGTCCTTTTCCTTCCTCGT